GTTTAAACAACTCTACTTATTCAATAAGGTTTTGATTAATCAGATTGCCAGAGATATATCAGTTTTGGTAATATAATTAAACTTGATTAGTCCATGTATTTAATGAAATCAAATAATAAAAATGGTTCTTGAGTTATTACAAACACACACACATAAACACTATTCTACAACAAGCACAATACCATTGCTTTTTTTGTTTTACCATTAAATATCTATCATAGAATTGTACCTCCATTATATAACTGCTTTGTCCAACAACTTTTCCTGGTGTTTTTTTATCTTCCACTCTCCGACTCTTTCATTTGTGAAAATGTTTCTACAACTGGATCCAACAATGGTGGATGTAACAAATGTTTTTCTTGTGTCTGTAATGAAAAAACAGCATAGTTATTTACTTCCACAAAGCACTTTATTTATATATTCACACAAATGCAACATCTATGCAAGTACCTAATTACTAGCACTGCTATAAAACTGGTAGGCCTTTAAATTGTTATTGTCATCCACACAAATTTACAGCTTATCAACAAACTAAACAAGCATTATCAATAATTTTGAGTTATTTTGAATCAAATTTAATTATGCAATTTATCCTAAATTATTAATACTAAATTAGTATGTTTAACCTGTTTCTATAGTGTTGAAAGCTGTATTAGTCAACTAGGCTTATTAATTAACTGTTAAGACATTAATGTCTCAGAAGAAAGCAACATGGAAGAACAGTGTCAGGCCCTACTGTTGTTAGGCAAAATATACCCAACTTCACTGTTATAAAATTATATTAAAAATATATGAAGCATCTGGCTTGCTTAGTTATAGCTTTTGTTCTCAAATACCATAGTTTATAAAATATTCTTCTTAATTTCTTATAAATATCCTAGTCATTCTGAGAATACAATGGTTATCACTGATGAATTTGCTTTGTTTGTGCAATTATAAATAAGATTGGGCTTAGATTAGTTTGCCCATTTGCTATAGTGCCAAGCATTGATTAGCAGTCCTGATCTCTGCTTCTTTATAATCAAAATCAGTCCCTTCTTATTAACACTGGAAACTTGATACAAGTGAAACATGACAATAACAAATAATTAAAATACAAATTAATTAATAGCACACAAACACACATATATATATATATGTGTGTAGCAATAGGTTGCCGCTGACCAGTTGATTCCCTGTGGTTGGTGCTATCTGGGCTGCACACTAACAAACATACTATAATAGGACTCCATAAGTGGAAGAGGAGAGCCTGCGCTTTGGTTGGTGGTAAAAATTCCTTTAACATGTAACCATATCTACTGAACAAAATGCTTACAAAAATTCAATCTATCAGCACACAACATAGCAAAGGGCAAACTATACCACAGCAAAACATATATAAAGAGAACCAATGATTCCTTTTTAATAAAAACTACCAAGTTAAAGATGATGAATATAAGCAGATTTACTCTTGAAAACTGAACAGTTGTCTGTTGATTCTGCTATAGTTACAGAGACTGTAAATAAATCCAAGCACTATGTCTTGAATGACAATGTTCTTTATTGCACAGAAAGGGTTGCTAGCTATGGTGAATTCAGCCAAATTGTTCCCCAAACATTAAGACTGGTATTGCTAATAGGAAAGTCGACTACAGAAGACTTTGAGGTCCCCTCCCCCCCACAAGACTTCTGCTGTTGTGTCTATTTCTCAACCTTCAATGGATCCTGCTAATGACTTACCTATATCTCCTGGCCACATCACACAGTTTAGCTGGTCTTTGAACTGTTAATAAGCTTCCAGTAAACTGAACCAGAGTCAGAAACCAGTGAAGATCAAGCTGAAGATTCCAAAACATGAATTATTGTTGTTTCCTTGTAACCTATCTGTATGCAAACTGTAAAGGATTCCTGGTGTCAGTAAAAAGAGGGAGATAAAAGTAATGATATACTGCTAAGGGGAAAGAATGTGAGATAGCAATTCTGTTTTTATTTTGTTATGGTTTTATTTACCGTTCATTTATTATTCCTTCTATCATTTAGTTTAACTATGAATTTTTAGTTATATTTAAGCACTCACTAACCTTCTAGCTAGAGCACATTGAATTTGAGTATGTTTGTATTATGAAACTGATAAGTTTCCCTAGCAGTGATCTACAGATATTAATATTATGAAAGATTATGTAAATTAGCTAGTTACGAGATGTAACTTTATGGTCTAACCATTAAAAAAAAACTGCCTTGATTTTAAAAAAGTTCATGAGATATAATTTGAACAAGTTATTACTGATTATTACTTGTTATTGCTATTGAAGTATTTTAATTTTGGAATTAAGTTTTTCTTCTTATGGTGCTTTTTCCTAATTCTTTTATTTATTGAAATTAACAGCATTGATATTTATGTTGTATTATTTATTAACATTTGTATCAAGTCCTGGCCAGGCACGGATTTACTGTTTTTTTCGTAAGTGATAAAATTTGTATTCCAATTGTTTGAAAGTTTCATTTTGGATTTTTGTTGTTATTACAGTTTCATAAATTGTTTTCTTGTTCAATCCTGGTTGTAACAACATTTTGATTTAGGCTCTGGTATTCTATGGTAAACAAAGAAAACCAGAGGCTAATTTCCTTCACTGATTGCTTTTATATAGATACTGACCAAGATATCAATTACATATAATTGTGGTATGTTCAGGTAAAATTGAGTTAACCTTAGAACAATGGGATAGGTTTGCTTAATAACAGGGGTCCAAAGAGACATTCATTACAAAGTGATTCTGAATCTTTGCATAACTGAGTTTGTGAAAATGAAACAAGGGTCTGACCACAATGTGAATTACAAGAAAACAATATTTATTTACAAGCACAATGTGTGTGTGTGTGTACTTGCTTTACAGACATGAGATGCCACTTCTACTGGATTAAGTATCTTAACTGATCAAAGCCAAAATTATCTACCAAAATGTTTAAAATCAACATTCCTTACTTCACATATAACATGAATTTATCCAGAGCAACTACTGATACCATGTGACTGGTCATTCTCATTCAAGCATAAGAAATATTGTGGTGTTGAAGCAATGAATCCAATTAATTGATTATCTATGTGTATCAATTACATTGGTTAGTGTAACATAAAATCAATAAAAAATATCTTAAAATTACAAATAAATCAATTAATGTCACAAAAATAACAAACTACCTGAAATTAGTGCTTCTAATTATTGATGTTTTTGATTATTCCAATTATTTAAGTCGTATGTGAGAATAAATGATTATTTGAATGTAATTGATTACGGAGCCTAATCATCTAGCTCTATTGGAAATAATTAACTCTTTTGATTTACAATCAACATACCTATAAATTTACCCTAATATTCAATTAAGTTATACTACTAGCACTTCTTTGGTGGCTTGAGTGACTTATCTACCACTATACCAAGATCCTTATATTTAGTCACGTTATTGAGGGACATATATGTATTAAACAACTGATTCACATTATGATAATCCCAAATACATAATCTTGCAGTTACTATACATAATAGTTATCTGTCCAAGTTTTCAATTGATATAAGTTGTTCTATAATACCTCAATATTACCAATACAGCTAGAAATATCCAAGAGTTTAATGTCATCAACAAGTTTTACTATTTTATTATGTCTCTATCAATATGATTAATGTAAATAAGAAACACCAAAGACCCTGACCCCTTATGCATGCCACTAGCAACAAGAGTCCAGTTTCATTTGACTCCATCCAAACACCCTACAATCCAGTTAACTAGTCTTTCCCAAACCCCTACTGATACAAGTTTCATTAAATCCATATTGACTTTCTTTTATAATATCTTATTTGAATAAATAATTTTGCAAAGGATCTTTTATCAGACCTCTCAAATTTTTCCTACTACAGAAATAAGATCTTTCTTTTTCTCAAGATATGGCAACTCTTATCACCCCATTTATAAATAGGTTCAGAAGAGGACTATTAGGATGACTTTTAGGAAGAAATGATCATCTTATGGGGATTGGTTAAGAGCTCTTAACCCTATGAACTTGGCTAGATCAAAGTGTTCATGTCATGACTTTTTACAGAGTTACACCCCAAATTTAATTAAACAGCTTTATTATCATGAGAAAAGGACTGACCATCAACTGGAAGGAGACTGAATATATGGTGATCACTAAGAAAAAAAGGAAATACCAGAATGCAGATTAAACATTGGGAATGAAACACTCAAGCAGGTAAATAAATTTAAATATCTTAGAAGCAGGATACCATCAGATGGAAAATGTGATTATGAAAACAAAGGCAAACAGGAATGGCAAAAGAAGCATTTCTAAAAATGAAGACCACATTCACCAACAACAAACTGACAATTGAAACACAACTGAGAGTTCTACAGTGCTATGTTCATTCAATTCTTCTTTACGGTTCCAAATGTTGGACAATATCACCAACAACGAAGAAACACATAGAATGTGGTTCCTAAGACAAATGCTTAAAATAACACACACACAAATAATGAAGTTGTTTTACAGAAGGCCATGACAAAACGAATGTTGTGGGAAAATTTAACAAAGAGACAATGGGGTTTTATAAGACATACCATGAGAAAAGGAGAGATTGAAAACATCATTATGACAGGAAAAATCCCAAGCAAAATGTAAAGGTAGACAAAGACAGATACTGCTACCAAAAATTGAAAAGGAATTAGGAATTACCACTATAGAAATGATAAAGCAACAGGAAACAGGGATTAATGGAAGACCTTGCTTAACAGTGCCATAGATGGGCATGGTACCTAGAGAAAGATTATCAATGTATGTCAATAAACTTGGCATTGATATGTAGTTCATATATCAAATGTTTATATTATCTAAGTTTTAACTTGTTAATTTCAAGAAGAAATATTTAAATAAATTTAATTTTCATTTCTCTGTGTCACATGGTGCTCTAAATTCTTCCTTATAGATTTTTTGTTCCCTATTATGGATTTCAGCAACCAACAAATTAGAAACACAAAATAAAGATACTGAAAAATCATAATATAAATTTTGAGCCTTTAACATTCTTTATTTACTGAAATATCAATGTATTTGTCAAACCCACCTGCAAAGTACCTCAAATCTTATCACAGCTTTCAAAGTAGTTACCTAAACCATGTAATGCACTTGTTTAAAATTAATAAAAAAAGAGCATATTTTCATGTAAAAAAATTCTTATTATGGTTATTTCTTTTTGTTGATTATAGTAAACAATTGACCTTAGATTTCAATGTCTGTGATTGTTGTTGTTGTTCAACTCTGAACAGCTAACAGAATGGTTTTAACCTACTTATAGCTTAGTTAAAAAGCCAGTTAAATTATAATAGCCTTGAGACATTCTATTTTGATAAATTATAGTGTTCTACAATTCATATTTGAAAGTTAATTTTTATTCAAACAACTAACTTAGTGTGAAAAAGTATGACAAGTGTGCCACAACATCAGTCGCAAAAGACCAGAGTCCTGATGTGCTAAATTTCTTGTGTTTTTATGTACACTTTTTACTTATTATGAAATATTTTTAACAGAACTAAAATGTTAAAATTAGAAACTGCTTAGGTGAAGTAACAAATTCATCTAGAATTTCATGAGCTCATTTATTCATAATCAATCTTGTAGTATACTCATGCCAGTAACCAATTGTTTGTTTACAATAAGCTCAACTGGAATAATTCCATGACATATTGCTTTTCACATTCAGGTTCCACAAAACAGTAATAAACCAATAAAATTAAAAGAAAGACAGATGTGAAAAGGTTAGAAGCAGAGACTGTCAGAAAAAAACAATTTTACTTGTCTGTTATAATCTGTAGGCATTACTAAAAAAAAAAAGTATTACTCATTTTACAAAATATTTTTAAACTTTTCATTTCACTATACATTAATGATTTTACCACAATTGGCATTAAGGTAGAAAAAATAACTTAATTTAGGATGTTCTATAGGTTATGAATATGAGAACTGCAAGATGAATAGAAGTATTTTTATACTTAGCATGAAAATCACCTTACATTCAGATTGACTTAGTAAAACTCACAGACAAATCTCAAGTAGAAATGCTTCATTAAAAATTCTGATTTTTTGTGTACAACAAACTTGTAATGTTTAATCAAATTTTACCACAAGATTTCATGAAGATACATTCAGAATTATATTAATTTTGTTATATTATAATCCAGAATTATAGTAAACATTACTACATATAGATGAATCAAGAAGATAAAAACCTCTTAATTTTTTGTGCTAAATCCTAAAGATAACAGAATATTCGAACCAACGTTTCCCCTAATTTTTTCAATCCATGAGTGGAATGAATTTTTTTCACATACACCAGTATCAAGACAAAGTGCGGATACGTACTACCAGTTTTTTTTAAGGAGTGGGTAATATTAGACCATTGACCCTATTGGATCTTTAGGCGCTTTGCAATGCTTCCAGTTGGTTATTTGGGCTTTAGGCCTGTCAATAACCAGGGTCATTAAGGCTGTCAACATGTTGAGACTCCTCACCATTACTGAAGATGCGTGCAGCTGGAATAATGAAGTGTACGGAACTTGATTGGTTATTGTGCGGTTTCACAGCCACATAGCTTAGAGGGAACACTGGTTCAAACACAAGCTTAAAGTTTAGAAAAGCCAAGCAAGGCTCCAGTTAAGTTTTATATTACTGAAAGGATGATTAGCATATGGAATTGGTTGTAATTCAGAGCAGTGGATGTTAGTACCTTACTAGAGTTAAAGAGAGGAATTGTTTATTTCCTGAAAAATAAAGGGAGAATTGAATTTTTACTTTCTTCTTAGGTGTAGGTGTGATGGAACAGCTTTGAAAGATCAAATGGTCCCTTGTTTTCTGTATGTTACGGTAGGAAAAGTGTACATAATCAAAAACAAAATGCATCGATGACTTTGTTCTTGATTTTAAGTACGTCAAAACAAAAGACAATAAGCATTAAACAACAGAATTTTTGTTAAAAAGAAAGACAGTGCCATGGAAATAGAGGTAATTATGGTGGAGATAACTTAAATACCTGGGTGATTATTAGAATTTGCTAAGTAATTAATTGTTAGACTCATTAATTTAATCACTTACATTTAACTAATCAATTATTTTCACAAGTTGAAATAATCAAAAATAGTAATAATTGGAAGCACTAATTTCAATTAACACTTTTGTGAATCATAACACTCATTGATTAAGTTAATTAACCATTAATTATTCAAAATAATAATGAGAAATCATAATGACAATATTTAAATTACTTGAATAGTTTGAATAATTGGAAACACTAATTTTGATTAGTTGATTATTTTTGTGACATTAACCAATTTAACTGAAATTTCAATTAATCAATTATTTTATGGGACATTAATTGATGGTCTTAGATTATATCAATTAATTGAGTTAATCATCTGGCTATACTCAAGATAAATGTTGAAATTATCTAAAGTAAAAAAAAAAACATTAATTATATGTAACTCAACACAGTTAAACTTCATTATCATTTTTGGATGAAGGGGAAACAAGCCAATGTATCATGCCTAACCATCTTGGGGCCATAAAGAAAACTCATAATAACCACAAATTATTGCAAAAAGAAAAAAAGGGTCATAATTTTAAAATTTCCTAACCATGCCAATTTCATTAAAGTTTCACATCCTAAAGCACATTGTGTCATTGGTAAATTGTTTAACATATTATTTAAGGGACAATAAGTTGAGGCTATCCCTTCCACTTAAAAGAACTCAAAACCATTCCTAATTAAGTTAAATATTTATTGAGGTTTCCCTTAAACTTACTGCACATACCAAATACAAAGTAAACACCACCCTGTTAGGAAAGTAAAACAGTCTAAGCTGAAGAGGACTCCTACTCTTGTCCTACCATTTTCCTCATTTCATATGAAAAAAGAGGCAATAACACTATAAACTTCCTTAATAATCTTGAAAATCTCAATCAGATACCCTCTAACTCAAGAGAAAACAATTTCAGAGATCTTAACCTACACTCGTATGACAACCTTTACATCCCAGGTATCACCCTAGTAGCCTTTTACAACAATCTAACATCTTTCTTAAGCTAAGGATTTCAAGACTAATTCAAATGCAGTCTAACAAGTGACCAATTTATTGAAATTATAACCTCTTTATATTTAATATTTCTATAAATACAACCAAAAATCCCATTTGCCAACCACAAGCTATCAAATTTTCTCAGCACAAGGCTTCCCAGATCAGTCAGCATCCCATCCCCTACTCAAAGAGCCTCTAAATACTGAGTACCTTGACAGCACTGGGTATTTTGTTTGCTATGACCCTCTGGGTATCTGTGGCACATGGTCCGAGGACACCTGGCTGAAGAAACTGACCAACTAATACACTGAGATCCTTATTTTCTATAAAACTGTTAAAGTTATTCCCATCACTATTACACTTAACAAAGTTATAAGCTGAATTATGATAACCTACATGTATTTATTTAGCCAACTACCAATCCTGTAGCTGATTAGCACCTGTCCATAGCTCAAGCCAGAACGTACAAAAAACATTAAAAAGTAGCTCACATATCCAACCCTTAATTACTTAAACCCCCATTAAAGCCCTTGGGAAAATATTGTGTTAGTGTAACAACTTAAAAATGGGCCAGTGATTATACAAAGTGAAGAAAAAATGTTACCAATTAAATTGTTTCTGATAAATACGGCATTGGTAATGTTAAACCTATATTGCAAAGTGAATATATATATATATTACATATAAATCAGAAAGAAACATGCAACAATGAAATACAGGAATAATATTTTTCTACTTCAACACTGTCATTTTACTATTCAGTTTTTACTATTGCCATTTGAGCTGGGATTCACCACTAATATTACTTATAATAAATAACATGACAATTTAAGACCTAATATAATTCATTAATTGTCCGCTGCACAGAAATTTATGAAAATTTCTGCCTCAGACACAGCTACTGGTGATAATTTATGTAAAAATTGTATAAGTTATGATTAATGATTAATCAGTTAGCGTTGGTTTATACTTAAATTACGTCACTATTTTGTTATTAACTTGTTATTTTAGTTTTACATTTTTGGAATTCAACCATAAAAGTACAAAGGAAAAAATAATGTAAACAGCAGATGCTTTTCATCACATTCCTCTTAATATGTTTAAAATGTAAAAGAAAATTCCAAGTACTCACTTGCAATTTCATAATTTCAACTAATTGAGTTGAGCAGTAAATTTTAATCTTTAGTACACATCAGTTCTGAAAAAAAGTTAAATTGTATCAACAAACATAAGAAAATCTAATGCGTTACTAGTACTATTAAATAGAATTTTCCGGTTAGTATTAAGAGTTTAATACACCACGTATATGCAACAATCGTTGACAAATGTATAGATCCTGACACAAACCAATATTTTGCGCATGCGCTTAATTGCCATTAGTTAGGCACAAATTAAATGATTTTCATAATAATAATATAGTTTACAACACAGAACACTGGTTTCTTCATTGTAAAGAGCCCTTAATGGCTCAGCGGTAAGTCTGGCGGTTTATAAAAGTAAAATTTGGGTTTTGATACCCGCAGTGGGCACAGCACAGCTAGCCGATTTGGTAGCTTTTCGCTTAGCTACAAACAAATAAATCAATAAAATTTATACGCACTGTTATTGTTATAATTATTGTAATTAAACAATGTTTCTGTGTCTCGAGATATGCAATTTCATCTTGTAAGCCTTTCCGTTTGTACTACTAGTAACATGGTTATGAAGGGCATATCCGCATAGGCCCCTTTTGTAGATGATTATACTATTTACATACGAAATGTTTCTCTTAACAGAGGATTTGACCACACTAATTCAGTAAATCTATCACTGAATATCAGATCTCAAAAAGGATTGTCCTTGCATGTCTTTACAAATTACAAAAGTGACCTGTAGGCTTATAACTCTAAAAACCGAGTTTCTATAGACATGGTGGGCACAGCACGGATAACTCACTGTGTAGCTTTAAACTTAAATAAATAACAACAAACAGGAACAAAAATTACAATATACATATAAAGTACGCAACCATCTAACTTCAGCATATATTTGCCTAGAAATACAATGCTGGCGAGATTTCCGATGTTATCATCCACAGTCACCATCCGTGCAGTGTAGTATTTCTCGAATACATTTCCAGCTCCTTTGATTATACTTTTAGTAGTCTTACTGGCCTTTTTTTCCAACGAGACTCTACAGCTCCTGATCTCTGAGTAATTGAAATCTGATGTCCTAAGATATGCAGTAAATCATTTTACGGTTTGAGCAAAATGTTTGTAATTGGAACTAAGTGAATACGCGTATTTCAACTGTGCTACAAAAAACGGTCGTCTGCAATATTCTGCTGCAACAAACACACGCATGGCAACTGCCTTGACAACCAAGCAACATTGATGCGATTTGTTAACCAGCTTCCCAAGATAACAGTTAAAATGTTTCATAGCACATGATGTGCTCTTTGCCAATCACAGCGAAGAATTCATGTTAGGGGTAGGAAAGTATGGTATAACACAAGGAGCGGGTCATCTTCAGACAATGTATTGTTACGCCTCCAGTCGTTAGTTAATTTTCCGTAAGTTCGTTCCGACGAAACTTTAGCAACACAAGTCCTTTCTTA